TCTAACTACAACATTCAAAAAATTACTTTCAACAAGAGTTCCGCGATCTCATACCTTCGCCAAATGTTTACCCTGGCGGCTGACGAATTATACAATTTTAATCGATTTTGCAAATAAGATCCTCATTTCCATGGATTCTATCAGTTGATCATATTCTTCACCCAATGACAGTCTTATCTTAACAAAAAGCTATTATAACACTTCCTCATTAATTATGCAAATGAGGGCATGATTTGAATAAATTATGTTTATTGATGTTCGCCTTCACTTAACTTCCAAGTGTGGCAAATATGAAAGTTACAACTATGAAATTATAAAAAATTCCCATTAATTATGCAAATCAGGTCTTCATTTACATAATCTATATCCTCAGATGTTTTTTTTTTGTTCTCAATTACATGTCACTAGTGTTTCATAGTCTTATTATCGAACAAAGCAGATTTATAGAATTTCCTCATTAATTATGCAAATTAACTCCTGATTTGCATAATTGTCATTTGATTATGTCAAGCATCTCTTCAGCTACCTACATACCAAAAATCACGACAATCCGTTAACAGGTTCTTGAGTTATCGTCCATCGAAAAATTTTTAACAAATGCTCCTGCAGTTCCAGAACAAGCCGCTAGGGGGTCCAAACTCATGTCACTTTTTCCCTACCCCAAGAGCTATCTACCAACCAAAATTCGTGACCCTAGCATGTCCAGATCGCGAGATATCAAAACCGGGAGTTCTGCTGCAGTACCAACAAAAGCCGCCAGGGGGCCCAAAATCTAATCATTTCTAGGTCTCTTCAAGACCTACCCACCTACCAAGTTTCATGACAATGCATACTAGGCTTCTTGAGTTATGCTGTTCACAGACAAACAGACAAACAGACGGACAAACGCTACTGAAAACATAACCTTCTTGGCGAAGGTAAAGAATAGTACACATCTGGAACTCACTACCGGCCACCACCAGATCACTTAAGGCATATCCGAGTTATTCTTTGAAAGTAATTTTTTGAATGTTGTAGTTAAAAGTTTGTAACTTGTAGAAATCCCATACTTAATCACTACCAATATCTCCTGTTAAACTATTTTGATCCATAAAACATATGCAGTTGGCGCACCCTTTGTTGTTAGACTCTTATACACTACAACCACTGCTATCATTATCAGTACTGTTTCTATTATTATTTATACCTATATGTTATTGTAGTTATTACAGTTGCCCCTTTACCTTTATCATTAAACAGAATGTAAACAAACATGGCTGACAGCTGTGTTTCCAGTGCAGTGCATCCTGAATGACACTTACCGGTACCTGCAATGGACCAGGGGTTAATTAAACTTACTTTGTAGCGTATTCGCCGTATTGTCTAGAAAATTGACTTTTTGTACCTAGTGTTGCATAATACAGCTGTAAAAAACATGGTCTCTACTCTCTACCGATCTAGTCCTGTTTCTTGTGTGCAGAAATAGAGTGCGATACATGTTGACTGTTATGGTACATGTGTACAATAAACTGCGATAATTACCTCCATTAAAAATGGAGGTATTGTTTTTGGCGTGTCTGTGTGTCTGTGTGTGCCTGTGTGTCTGCACATTTATAGTCAGCATAACTTCATAACGCCTTTATGGAATGTGATGATATTTTGTATGCTGTATATGGATGACGTCCTTTGGAGACCCTAAATCTTATGCGAGAGGGCGAAAAAAAAACAAGAAGGGCCCTAAAAAACAAGATGCCTAGATTAGAAATATACTAAGAGACGACAAATGTTAGGACAGAAATTGAATGAGGTGACACAGTGTAACAAGCAAGAAGTCTTTCATCATCAAAACAGCAATAAATCAGGTGGAACAGCAGTTGTCGTCCTGTCCTGTTTCTTTCATCACATTTTTGTGCCCTTTACCCATTTCGCGTTACGGGTTTCAGGTCAATCTGACGATTTGCGGCACTGTCGTGACTCTTTGGTCATAGTTACAGGAAGCGGAATTTCTTGTTGTTTTTTTCTCGGAACAGGCCAAAATCAATGCGTGCGCAGACGTCATCCATAAAATTTACTTGGTGTGGCCTAAGTCTTAAGAAGACAAAGGTCAAGGTCAAATCTGGGCCTCCTGGTGGATGACCTTGGTACTGCAGCACAACTTCCAGTTTTTGTATCTTTTGTCCTGAACATTTTGGTGACAGATAGCTTTTCCTGTCAGGAATAAGTGGTGTGGGTTTGGTCCCCCTAGCTGCTTGTTAGGGAACTGCAGGGGACTTTCTGGCAATTTTTGGTGTGTAGGTAGCTGAGAGAGTTGTACATAATAAAATGCAAATTATGCAAATGAGGACATAATTAAGGAGGAAATTCTATAGTCTTATGTAATAGTACTTTTATACATGTAATCTATTTAATCTGTGGCAGGTGGAACATCAACAGATACCAATTATACAAATTGACCTAATTTGCATAATAAATGTGAAAATTCTATGACTCCTTATTGAATCGAACTACAGCTCACCCCTCATAGCTTATCATATTTGGTATTTGGGTAGGTCTTTAATAGTAGGAGGTCTCATGAGCTTGATACTGCAGCAGAACTTCCATTTTTTAAATTACATGTAATGGTACTCTAGTTTTGAATGTAGAACTTGCAGAAATAAATGATAAGTTTGAGGAGGTTAATTCTCATTCATTCATTCATACATGTGACAAAATGAAACCAAACTCTCAAGTCTGGAATGTGACTTTATTGAAATTCACCCCAAGCCGACTTCTTGTTTGCTGCCCTGGGGCTCCTGGCTAATTTTCTCCACCACCAACCGTAGACTTTCAGTTGACAGTTTCATACACGCCTCAACTCCAGGGCAGCAATAAGTCATCCTCAGCACAGGGACAAGACGGGGTCAACTGGAAACTGAGAACTCAGAAGAAAATGTCTTACTGGCAAAATCTCCTGCTTCATAAAATGCTCTGCAAAAGTATTCCACCTACAATGTACATGTAGCGCTTATCATTTTTTATCATATTTCAGAGTAAACAACTTGATATTATATCTCAGTTAACGATCTTCAACTTAAATTTGTAACACATGTATATGATTCAATACGATTAAGCGCACATGTAATTTACAAGTATCTCAATATGACAATTGCATGATTATAATCTTATTACTGTATCTTACTAGCCAACATTG